TAGACCCAGGGGCTATATAATTCAGCTCAGCCTTTGTGAGGAGAGCTGGGAGTTAAGGGGCAAGATTGATCATCTCGGTCATCAGGAAGGACAAGGGGGAATACTTGTGGTTTAGGGAGGGCACCTTTGACAGTCTTGTCCTAACCCCCTCCTTCTTGTTTCTCCCCTGCAGTTGAAGGCCTCCCTCCCCTTAAGTGCCTCTTTGCATAGCACCGGCCCCACCCCCACGCTCACTGGTACTGCTACCTAGCATCATCGGGCCATGGCTGGTCGGGGAGGTGCAGCACGACCCAATGGACCAGCTGCTGGCAACAAGATCTGTCAGTTTAAGTTGGTCCTCTTGGGCGAGTCTGCAGTGGGCAAATCCAGCCTTGTTCTCCGCTTTGTCAAGGGACAATTCCACGAGTATCAGGAGAGCACAATTGGAGGTGAGTGAACACGAGGGAGTTGGGGGACTGGGGACCCTTGAGGAGAAAGACAGCTGTCTGTGCAGAGACTAAATCTGTCTGGCCTGGGAGCACTTTTTCCTCAGTGGGCCCTGGAATTGAATCCAGCAGTCAGTTTCATGCTTCATTCCAAAAAGCATGACTGCTAAGAATTAGCTAGAGATTGAAAATGACTTCCTGTTTTGGTCCAGCCTCTTTATTATTTGTGTGGATGTGACTACCCCATCCACTGACCTGGCTGGCATCAGGGGGACTTCTCAGAGGGTCCTTTTTGTTCTGCAGGGCAGTATGCATGTCCTGTCCTCTCCTGTTGATCTTTACCCTTTCTGGAGCTCAGAATGGGTCACTGATTCCCCATTGGTCAGCATGTGGGAGGTAAATAAGGGTCTGGACTCAGCCTCTGGCATCTGTAGTCCGTGTGACTCTCGAGAGGCCAGGGCCACCCTGGACCCGAGTCATCCTCTGCTCTCTTGCTTGGTAGACGGTTTCCAGGCAGCTGGAGACAGAATGGTCCACGTCAGCAGTCTTCTCTCTGCCTCCTCAGCACTGTCAGAAGTTCTAGAGGGGGAAGTGAGGTGGCGCCCCAGGCTCCTCACAGAGCTGTCATAATCCTCTGCTGGGTCCAGGGTGTGGAGAACCCAGCTCTGGGATTCTCCTGCAAAGCATATTTCCTTTGGTGCCCTGTGTTCCCATCTCAAGTGGAGTCTGTATTCAAACCACAGGTTGACCATTCAGGAACGATTTTGGGTCACAGTAAGGATGGGATGGTGGCTAGCTGTAGTGCCTGGAGGTGGCAGAGGTGGTTGGAAAGCCAGTCACCCAGCCACAGCCTGGCAGAGAGAATGCCTTACTGAAACTGAAGGTCACAGTCACCCTTGAGCTGAAGTGGGTTTGTGAAGGGCAGCAGAAGGAAGGCCAGGGGGAATGGGGTCTCACCCTTTGGGGCTTGGCCTCAGGGTTCCCCTGGGTCTCCCTTATCTGACTCTTGCTGTGCTTTGCAGGGTAGCTCTCAGACAGCTCCGTGCAGGCACTTCCCAGACAACACATAGGCCTCACCTGCCCTGTGTGGACAGGCTTCTACATGCCAGATCCAGCAATAGAGAGTAAGCCAGGTGGTTTCCAGTTCCTCTTTGCATAATGACCCACCTTTTTCTTACAGCGGCTTTCCTCACACAGACTGTCTGCTTAGACGATACAACGGTCAAGTTTGAGATCTGGGACACAGCTGGACAGGAGCGATATCACAGCCTGGCCCCCATGTACTATCGGGGGGCCCAAGCAGCCATCGTGGTCTATGACATCACCAACACAGTAAAGATTTTTCTTCCTTTATTCCTTGCCCTTCATTTCTGTAAAGCCCCAAGAATTGAGATATAAAAGTCTCATTTATTACCTCTCACTTAGCCTTCTAGTCCCGACTGGGATATGGGCAGATCCTGTTCATCGAGACGCTCTCACGAGAATCTTAAGGGATGACTTATCAGTTGCCTTTGGCTGTGCCAGTTTTTGTTTGCTAGTGAGTGGCCCAGAGTAGAATGTCTCTGTCCCTTTGACACTTTGATCCTGTCTCCTCAGGATACATTTGCACGGGCTAAGAACTGGGTGAAGGAGTTACAGAGGCAGGCCAGCCCCAACATCGTCATTGCACTCGCAGGTAACAAGGCAGACCTGGCCAGCAAGAGAGCCGTGGAGTTTCAGGTGAGATGGCAGAATTTGGGGAAGGGTGTGAGCTGGCTCTGTGAGGGGGCCTTCCCAGGCCCCTTGAGTCCTGTAAGGGGTCAGCAGCTTTCTTCTGCTGCCCTGCATGACTGAAGCATGGGCCACAAAGGAGCTGTCTTTACGGTGCTCTTTTGTGGGTGGAGTGGGGAGGTGACGCTTCTGCACATTTGCCTTATAAACCAAATGGACTGAGACAGAAGTGCTTTTCTTTTTTTTTTTTTTTTTTTTTTTTTTACTTTATGTGCATTGTGTGCAGGTGTCAGATCCCCTGGAATCACAGACAGCTGTGAGCTGCCATGTGGGTGCTGGGATTTGAACCCAAGTCCTCTTTAAGAGCAGTCAGTTCTTAGCTGCTGAACCATCTCTCCTGCCCCAGAAGTACTTTTTGTAGGCAATACATTCATGTAGTAAAATTTAAATAGCCCAAGAAGATATAGAGAATGAGTTTAGTCTCTTTAATCCTAGAAAATCAGCATCTCTTATCCAGAATTCCCAGTATTTTGTCTTACCAAAAATGCGTACATTTGTGAATCATTTTCTTTACACAGATGGATGGGAGTATGCCGTATACCACATGTACTGTGTTACAGTTGTCCTCTGTCTGTGGGAGGGAGGGAGGGAGGGAAGTAGAGTGTCTCCTGTAGCCTGTAACCTAGGCTGTTGGCCTTGAACTGATTCTTACTCTTCCACTGTGACCCTGCTCTGCAGTTCTTCCTTTATTTAACTGAGGGCCTCCTAGGTTGTTTGTACCAGTTGAGAACTAGAAACAGTGCTGCAGGTAGTGTCCATGTACTCATGCTTTTGTCCAGATGTGCAAGTATAGTTGCAGGGTATCTTTCTAGAAGAATGTCTTGCCTACTAGTGATTCTGATGAGCAAGTAGGCAGAGTGGACCTGGGGAAGCTAAATAAGAATCTGCCAGTATTTGTGAACTGGGAGGTGTGTGTAGTGTGTGAGTGGGGGCTAGGTGATGCTGGTATTTTGGGAAAACAGAACAGAGGAGCCCTAAGCCTGAAACCCCTGCATTTGCCCAATCAGTCTCTGTTTTATAAGGACCAAGAGCAGGGGAGATTTTATGCTGGACCCTAGCCCCTACTGTCTGCCAGCATTCACCTCCTGCCCTCTTCCTCACTTTCCTGAATTAGGAAGCACAAGCCTATGCAGATGACAACAGTTTGCTGTTCATGGAGACATCAGCGAAAACTGCAATGAACGTGAATGAAATTTTCATGGCAATAGGTAAATTGCATCTCCCCTATTCTCCCAAGCAGGCTTGTGCTGGTCTCTGGCAAGTCTGTGGGGTGCCATCACTAACAGAATTCTCACCATTTTAAATTATCTGATAAAACTGTTGTCTAGCTGACTCCCAGATGCAGAACTTTCTAAAGCCTGGGCCAAAGTCTCCATGTTTATACTCCCTGCCATGTCAAAGCCATCTATTGCCATTCCTTCCTCCATACGACTTTAGCTCATTTGCCTTAGGAGTCGTCCTGCCTGGGTTCAAATACTGGCAGTGCCACTTGTAACTGGTTTTGGCACACAAGCCCTCCAGAATTCTGGTTGTCACTGATTAGGGAAAATATTGGGATGACCCTACAGGTGTATTTCCCCTTCTCTCCCAAACAGCTAAGAAGCTTCCCAAGAACGAGCCCCAGAATGTAGCTGGTGCTCCAGGCCGGAACAGAGGTGTGGATCTGCAGGAGAGCAGCCCAGCCAGCCGGAGCCAGTGCTGCAGCAACTGAGCCCCCTTGCCTGCCACTGCCCCCACTCCTCCACCAGAATGACCCGACTGGAATCCACTCTAACCAATCGCACTTAACGACTGGTGCCACCACTGGGGGCAGGGGAGGGGTCCATCATGAATTCTCTGCATAACTTTGATCCTAGGCCGAAGGGAGTTATTCCACCTGCACCTTTCTGTACAAATACTAATTCAATTTTAAGTCTTAAGTCACTTTTTTAATATATATGATCTTCTGCTCTTCCCAGTCCCCTTTCTGCTGCTCTTCCTCTTGCCCTTTGCTGGTAATAGCTACGCTCCCGAGCCCCTGGTCTGTGGGGACAGGGGTTGGAGCAGTTACCCTTTCTTTCCTTCTTGCTGGAGAGCAGACTCAGCAAGAGCACCCACATCTTACCTTGCTGGGAGTGGTCTTGGTCCCAGGACAGTGGATAGGCCCTGGGCTGGGGAAGGGACAGGCAGCGCTTCCCTCAGCTGGCTGGCTGTCGTCAGGCTGCAGCCCCTCCCCATCTGACTCCCAACTGGGAGAGAAACCGCAGCATTACTTAAAAGCATCATTTGTGACAGCCACACACCATGGCCCAGGACCCCTCCACCCTTGGTCACCCTGACCTCTGGCTCTGAGCCCTGTTCTGACCAAATCACGATGATGAGTATTTGGGGGGGGGGGTCAAGGGGGGGAGTGGGAGGGGATGGAACCAACTTTTTCTGTATTTTGTATTGTATGTTTTCTTCAACATGTAACCAATCAGTATCTTGTCAATATAGTCAGCCGATCGATCGACCTCACACTTGTCTTCCTCGTCTTTCTCTGGCAGATTTTGTCAGGCCATACATATCCTATTTTTCTTGAAGTTAATATAAACGAATCATCCAGTCTGATTAAATGGCTCTACCCTCTGCATGTGAGAGGATGCTGGTGGTCATGGTAACCAAAAGAAAGGCCCCTGCTGTTGGCAGCTCTGATAGTGTAGGAGGATAGAACTGACCTGGGACTGACCCCTGGCTCCCCTCAGCTTACATTAAAGGATGTGCAACCTGTATTTGGTTTTTTTTGTTGTTTTTTTTTTGTTTGTTTGTTTGTTTTTTTGTTTTTCGAGACAGGGTTTCTCTGTAGCTTTGGAGCCTGTCCCGGAACTAGCTCTGTAGACCAGGCTGGTCTCGAACTCACAGAGATCTGCCTGCCTCTGCCTCCTGAGTGCTGGGATTAAAGGTGTGTGCCACCATTGCCCGGCTTGCAACCTGTATTTGAATATTGTTGGTGTCTGTAGTGACCTCCTAGGGGTTTTTGTTTTGTTTTTTGGTAGGACTCTGAGCCCATCTTTTTGTCCTCTCCCTGAAGAGGACCACTGAGGATTAATCCTAAGAGCAGTGCTGCAGCCCATCTGCACCTCTGTCCTCCTCAGCTCTCCCCATGCCAGGTTCAGCACTGTCTATCCTGGTTCAGGACCATCCCAGCCCTCTGCTGCTCCCTGCTGGGGCTGTTGCTATTGCCTAAGTCCACACTCACCTCCGGTTTATATCAGCAAAACCGGAAGCCTGGTTATTGGTGTGCTTACTACCTAAGATGCCTCCCTTGGCCACCTCCTCCCTGCAGCTCCAACCCTCCACCCCTAGGAAAAATGCTGAGGGACTCCAAGGTTGCTGCTGCACACATCTCGGTTGTTTAATGGGTCAGGATCGGTTGGAGTTCTTATTCTTAGGTCCGTGGCTCCTGTGTCTTGGGGCCTGGCTTGTTGGGGCATCAGGCGGAGGTAGCGACCTGTTTTGTCCCAGGACCCACAGATGGCCAGAGGGTGTTAGGCTGCAGGTCATGGCCGCAGGATCTATGTTCCTTGGGAGTTGCATTTGCCGCTGCACTGTCTGCTTTATGCGGTAACCACCCCTGACTGGGTCATTTGACTCATGTTGCCGCTGACCGGTCACCGTCAGGTTCTGGCCGTCCACCCGCACCATCAGGTCGTCCGGAGCAAAACCGTGGGCATCCATCTTCATCTGGAAACTTGTATTGGCACGGCCGTTGCCCTGCACCACAGGCATATCATCTTTGAGCAGCCGCACGGGTAGTGTGACCGCTTGATTTTGCTCAGCCAAAGCCACGCTGGGACATCGGGACGCTACCCGGTTCTCCCCCGGTTCTTGCTGCCCGGTGGAGAAATGGTTCCCTGCCCGCTGCATCCGAGAGAGCAACTGCTGAGAAGGGCACGAGGGCTCCCCCTCCCCCCATCCTCTGGGGGACCGCCCACTCTTCGCATTCCAAGGGGCAAAGGCTAGCAGAGATCGAGTCAGCTTTGTCCAGCTTTGTCCGTCGTCCTCGAGCAGCAGGTCATTAGTGATCTAGTCTCCCACTGATGCTGTTATCCCGGACCATGCTCCTCCCTGGGCGCTTCTCCATCTACAGCAGAGGGCAGGAGGCTGTGAAGGAATTGGTTCACCTGAATATGCGGGATTTTCAACTCCACCCCAGGTTGAGCAACAAGGTTGGAGAGGTCTGCCCTGCCCTCTTAAGAATCAGGCCTGGGGCAAGGAAGGTTGTTTCCCGGACCGAAAGAGAGACCTTCTGGGTCTTTGTGAAAGAACTGGACCCAGACCTTTCATAGTCCTGAACTAACAGACGGAGAAGAAAATGGCTAATTCTCTGGCTCACCACCACCACCACTGGGGAGGCAGGGAAAAGATGAGAATAGGCGGGGAGGAAGGGAATGATTAAGGAAATTTGTTCAGCTTTAAAGCTGGGTGAGCCATATTTGCCTGTTCATAGAACAAAAATGGGGACCATTCCATGCCCACCATATCTGCAGCTTGACTGGCGGCACTGACTGACTGTCTGTTTTTGTTTTTTGTTGTTTTTTTTTTGTTGTTGTTGTTTTGAGACAAGGTTTCTCTGTAGCTTTGGAGCCTGTCCTGGAACTCCCTTTGTAGACCAGGCTGGCCTCGAACTCACAGAGATCCGCTTGCCTCTGCCTCCAGAGTGCTGGGATTAAAGGCAAAGGCATGAGCCACCACCGCTCGGCCTTCTCTGGTTTTTTTAATTCGCCCGTTTACAATCTCAGTATTTCAGTCCGTCAGTTTCTCTCTCTCTCTCTCTCTCTCTCTCTCTCTCTCTCACACACACACACACACACACACACACACACACAAACAATCCCCTAGGCTGGGATTGTTTCATTCTTTACCTCAGCAGCATGACTCACAACTACGCCTCTGTTCTTTTGAAAATAAAATGTTTCTCTTTAACACCAACCTAAGTACAGAAAAAGCCGAATGTCAAAGATAGTTCATCTGTGTCAACACCACACAGCACAAAATGTAGAATTCTACATTTCATCGCTATTGGAGCTACAATTCTGAGTCACTGGGGTAGGCTTTGGCAGTGTGGGAGCCAACCCTGGCCCAGGCCTGTTCTTCCACCTATGGATTTCAGAAGGGCGGAGCCCACAAATCCTTCAGACTGCCAGTGTTCCGGGGTTCCTCTTGTTCCCAAGAGAACAGCAATTATAACTATCCCGGATAACTTTAAAAAAAAAAAAATTAGAAAAAATTAGCGGTCAACCTAGGGTGCTCAATCGAGCAACATTTGGTTGTCTGTAACCAAGAAACAGGACCGAAGTCCGGAAGGCCAAGGCGTGGAGAGCGGCAAGAGACGACTACGACTCCCATGGTGCGCCGGGGCAGCGACGCCTGCGCACTGTGCGCCGGTTGCCCATGCGGCCCTAGGGCTGGGAGCGCGGCGCCGCTCCGCTGCGGGGGAGGCCATGGCGGAACCTTCCCAGGCCCCAAACCCGGCCCCGGCCGCGCAGCCCCGGCCCCTTCAGTCCCCGGCCCCTGCCCCAACTCCGACTCCTGCGCCCAGCCCGGCTTCAACCCCTACTCCGGCTCCTACTCCGGCACCAGCCCCCGCCCCAGCTGCAGCCCCAGCCGGGAGCACTGGGACTGGGGGGGCCGGGGTAGGAAGTGGGGGGCCGGGCAGTGGGGGGGATCCGGCTCGACCTGGCCTGAGTCAGCAGCAGCGCGCTAGCCAGAGGAAGGCGCAAGTCCGGGGGCTGCCGCGTGCCAAGAAGCTTGAGAAACTAGGGGTCTTCTCAGCCTGCAAGGTGGGGGCGGGGCCTAGGGTGAAAGGGGCGGGGCTTGGGGGCATCCATGGGCTTGGGTGGGAATGGGGGCCAAGCTATAGTTTCAGAGCCGTTCCGGCGCTTGGGGTACAACATCAGCTGACTGATCCTTCCGCCTCCAGGCCAATGAAACCTGCAAGTGTAATGGCTGGAAAAACCCCAAACCCCCCACCGCACCTCGAATGGACCTTCAGCAGCCAGCTGCCAACCTGAGCGAGCTGTGCCGCAGCTGTGAGCACCCCTTGGGTAAGGCAGGCAGTGTCTTTAGCGCTGGGGCCGAGGGCAGGTGCTAGGTCCTATTTGGACAGGGTGCATAAGTACCGTAAAGCCTAAGACTTCCTAAGGAAAGAGTGCGCCGGGAATGTATGTGTATGTCCCACGGAAAGAAAAGGGAAGTCTGTCTCCCAGAAGAAGCAGGGAACTCCCAAGGGCTGGTGTGAGAACTGAGAACATTGGGTCTCCCTGTCCTTCAAGGATTGGAGGATCAAAGGTGTGTCTCAGGAGGAGATGCAAGAATTAAGCCCTTCTTCTGTTCCTCTCAACCCTAATGTAACCATCTTGCAGCCGACCATGTATCTCACCTGGAGAATGTATCGGAGGATGAGATTAACCGGCTCCTGGGAATGGTAGTAGATGTAGAGAATCTGTTCATGTCTGTTCACAAGGAAGAGGACACAGACACCAAACAGGTCTATTTCTACCTTTTCAAGGTGAGCTTGCAAAGAGAAATGGGCCGAGGCTTTGGTGTGAGATGGGAATCTGACTCTGAGCTTGGCTACCCCTCTGTCTCCCCACTCCTCTTCCTTACAGCTCTTACGGAAATGCATCCTCCAGATGACTCGACCAGTAGTGGAAGGATCCCTAGGCAGCCCCCCATTTGAGAAGCCTAACATTGAGCAGGTAGGACGGGTTGGAAAAGCAGACCTAAGGGGCAGCATAGGGGTAGAGTCTGTTCTTCCTCAAGCTGAGAACAGGAGAGAGGCTCAAAGAAGAGACACCGTGTTTGCTGACCTCTCAGGGTGGGCGTGGAAGTTGGAAAGGTCAGGGTTTCCAAGAGTGAGGGGAAAGCCTTGACTTGTATTTGAGATGCCTCTGCTGGCTGTTCATGCCACCGTCTGCTTTTGTCCCCCTCCCCGCTTCTCAGGGTGTCCTGAACTTTGTGCAGTACAAATTTAGCCACCTGGCCCCCCGAGAGCGGCAGACAATGTTTGAGCTCTCCAAGATGTTCCTGCTCTGCCTTAACTACTGGAAGCTGGAGACCCCTGCTCAGTTCCGGCAGCGGTCCCAGTCTGAGGATGTGGCTACCTACAAGGTTAATTATACCAGGTGAGCCCAGGCAGGGCCTCACAGGGGGAGGCTTGTATGATCCATGGGTGGTCTCCACCCTCATCTCCCACTCCACCTCCCCCAGATGGCTCTGTTACTGCCACGTACCCCAAAGCTGCGATAGCCTCCCCCGATACGAGACCACCCATGTCTTTGGCCGAAGCCTTCTGCGATCCATTTTCACTGTCACCCGCCGGCAGCTACTAGAAAAATTCCGCGTGGAGAAGGACAAGCTGGTGCCTGAGAAGAGAACCCTTATCCTCACTCACTTCCCCAAGTAAGGCTCGGTCTGGCCTGTTGGGATTTTACCCCAAATTCATGTCCTCGCTGTTGTCCCTTTTTTCCAGGAAGGCTTCCTGGATTGGTCCCTCCTCTCCCTCCATGGGCCTTCTGGGATCTGGGTGTCTACCTGGCAGATTTGCCCATGGCCCAGAAGCTACTTGCTAGTATGTGCTAGTCTGGGGATGGCAGGTACATGGCCCGAGCTAACTCTACCCCCTCCCAACCCCCTGTTAGATTATTACTAATAGTTTCCTATGGGCACCTGGATGCAGCCTCAGAACCCCTCCCTCCACAGGGCTCCAAGAAGTCAGAGTTTACGTTTGTGCTGAAATCTTTTCCCGTCTCTGTTCTAGTCCTTTCTATATCCTTTTGCCTCTATTGTGCCTCTCTTTTCTCCCATTTGAATCTGGGTCAGAGCTCCCTATTCAAAAACCTTTGCTGGAAACAGGCGTGTGAGAGCGAGAGGTGGCAAGATTGGGTGATTCTCAAACCATTTTGATACAGAGGTGGAGTAAGGGAATTCAGGTGACTGGGTACCCTGCCTGGCCACACAGCATAGGGTGGCATCAGCTCAGACCCCTTCTCCTGTGCCATCCATCATGCCATGAATGGGTCCCTCACCTCTATCCTGGTTGTGTCCTGTCCTTTTATTTTCTCTTAGTGGTCCTCAGCAGGCAGGGAGCTGAGACTCACTCTACATAATAGGCCTTCCCAGACAGCAGAAGCTGTTGTCTCCTCTCACTGGCTCCCACCCACTGAGAACAGGGGCTGGCTGGCTGGCGGGCCTCTCATCCCTCTGGGGTCTGACCCAGGCTACTCCTGGTTGAAGTCTGGAATTGTGGGACAGTTGTTCCATCCCCACAGGTTTCTATCTATGCTCGAGGAAGAGATCTACGGGGCAAATTCTCCCATCTGGGAGTCTGGCTTCACCATGCCACCCTCAGAGGGGACCCAGCTGGTGCCCCGACCAGGTACGTTGCCCCATAGCCCTGCAGGGTCTCCTCGGTCACCCTGGCTGGCCTGCTGACCCTGGGATGACAGAGTGGTAGGGTGTGGTAGCAGTGGGAAGATACCTTGGGGCTCAGAAAGGGCTGACGGGGCCTGGATCCTTCTGAAGACCTCACCACACCCTCCACTCCCGTCCTTAATTTTTTTTCTCATGCAGCTACAGTCAGTGCAGCGGTTGTTCCCACCACCCCCATCTTCAGTCCCTCCATGGGTGGAGGCAGCAACAGCTCCCTGAGCCTGGATTCCACAGGAGCTGAGCCCATGCCAGGTGGGTCCTTGACCCGACCTCTCACCCCCATTTACCCTTCCCTCCACATTTCCTGCTATCCCTGGGTGACCTTGTCAACTTCCTCAGTAGGGGAGAAGAGGAAGCTTCCTGAGAACCTCACCCTGGAGGATGCTAAGCGGCTCCGTGTGATGGGTGACATCCCCATGGAGCTGGTCAATGAGGTCATGCTGACCATCACTGACCCTGCTGCCATGCTGGGACCTGAGGTAGGCAGCCCGGGCCTGCTGATCTGTCAGGGAAGG